GCTATGTGTGCCGACTATTTTTAACAACCGGATAAAAGTTTCTTATACTTGGTAAAATGTGTTCCTATAAATCGGTACCCGATGGACCAGAGGTTTCAGAAACCAGGCAGTGCAGTCTTGAAACCAGAATTTTTTTTTTTTTTATGAAGCAAGCTATTAAACACTTTAACTTCCTGTTTAAAGAAGATAAATAATAAGTTGGCTGGTAGCCATAATTCTTTTGAGAAAATGGCAAGTAGCCATGTTTTTTGTTTTTTTACTTGTGGTTTATTACCCTCCCATATGTGGCATTTTCGTCAGTTATAAACTGACGAGCTCCTTGTCATATTTGTTGGACTTCAAGATGAGACAGGAGGGTATGGAATGGAGGTGGGTGTACCGGGGACACTAGGTGTCTCCTTTGGAGACGTAACTTATAAGAAGGGTGGCCACCTGATGACCCCCTATGGTGTATCAACCCTTCTCCCTTGGGTGAAGAATGTTGGGATTGGTGCAGTAAAAAGTGAGAAGGTAGTAGTATACGAACAGACCGCATTGTCCAGAGAATTCCAATACTTCAGACTTTATTGAAAATCACAGCAAATCCAGTATAGCAGTGAATAAAAGTTTATAAAGCAGCAAATACCAGCACTGCACCCCCCCAACCAGCTACAACCTCTCGCATGTTTCACCCATAGACTTATTCATAGAGGTTTCGCTCTCCTATGAATATTGGAATTCTCTAGATAGTGCGGTCTGTTCGTATACTACTACGTTCTTCCTTATTACTGCACCAAACCCAACATTAAGTGATGATTTACCATCGGTATTGAATCATAAAGTCCTATTAGCTCTAATGGCCAGCTTTTCTGGTTTATGAACTCCTTCTCAAGCCCACCCCCCATCCAAGAAAAGGTTGCCCATAGAATGGCAGATGGCTAAATGAAAGTGAGTGTGGAATAAGTTCAAGTATTACAGTTGATTCCTCTACCCCTAGACCTAATGAGCATTTTACCTTTGCAGGAGTTCAGCTTGTTTGTTATGATGCATGGGCAAATTACAGGTTTACTTTTCGGCTAGAGTCACACTGTGGCAATCGTGCACAAAAACCGTGCGGATGGCCACACAGTCACGGAATTGCCCACCACCACCAATCGTGCTGCCTGTGTCATTATTTTCGACTGGCACCCAAGTCGCGCCAGGCAGATTGTACGGTTTTCCACCGCGATACCGACTGTGCGGTTGTGCGGCAAAAAGAGGTACATGTACCGTCTTTTCTTTAGATATTGCCACATGGATGTAACTCCATTTCAAAATCAATGGGGCCACGCAGCAATCGCTGCATGCAATCGTGCACGATCGCACAGCCCCGGGACGTGCGTTTCTGGATCGCGGATATCTGAACCTAGCCTTAAGGAGGCAGGATGATTTAAGATGGGATAGGGGGTAATTAACATATACACTCTGACCTAAAGTATGTGGTCACCCCTCTAAATGATTGCTTTCAGATGTTTCCAATGAAGGAAATTACATTTTAGGCAATTGTGTGCTTCCAACATTTTGAGGCCCTTTTTCATTCCAGCATGACTGTTCCCATGTCAAACCATGTCTTAATGTACCTAGATTTGTACAGAAGATTGGTGTGGTGGAACCTGGGTGACTGGCACAGATGACCCTGACCTCAATCCCCCTGACCACCTCTGGGATGAATTGGAATGCCAATTGTGAATACCTCTTCTCAGAAAAGTGGGATCTGTTGCAGCTGCAAAGGGTGGATGCAACTCAGTGTTTATGCCCATGGTTCTGGAATATGATGTCCTACAAGCACTAAAGGGTGTGAGTCATGGTCTTAGCCGCAGATCCATGGTTCTAATCACTCAATCTGAAAAAAACTTTTTGTTGGGGTATGTTGTATATAGGTTTGGCTTAATTGGTTAAACAGACAGTGATGCCTCATTTTTACTTGTGGTAGGTGATGGGACTGGAAGCTTCTTTGGTGCAGGAGCTAGAGATGAAAATGGTTGAACATAGTCTGTAAAGTTCTGTGAAGCAATTTGAGGCTATAAAAAATATGGAAAGTAAAACAAACCACACACTACTCAATTTAAGGCTAAAATTTGTTACATACAACAGCTGCAAAAATAAAACTATGCTTAGAAATTACTAAAATTTGAAAATGTTAGTGCTGCATTTCTACAGTATGTGATCTCTCCTGTCTGCCTCCCGGGCCACACAGACAAGACGGGGTCTAGACAAAAAGCACAGGGGCTACTGAGCTGTGGCTAATTAGGGGAAATGCTCTACCTGTGTTCTTGCATCACTGTGCTAATGAGTCTTTATCAAGGTCTGGAAAGCAATTTAGTTTTGAAAAAGGCGAATAACTGGCTTTATTTAACGTCCTCAGTAGGGCTGCAGCTAACGATTATTTTCATAATCGATTAGTTGGCCGATTTATTACGTTCTTAATCGACTAAATCGATTAACTGTTGCAGCTCTACTCCTCAGTGACAGGAGATGCAGTGATCAGGCACAGAGACCATGGCGGCTAGAAGACTTTAAAGGTACGCTCTAGTCAAACGTGAGAATTTTCCATTTACATTGGCTTGGTGGAATCTGCTACCTGCTTGCGTGTCTGATTTTTTTAACCTTGGCCTTCATTTCTGCACCTGGCTGCTTGCTGCCTAAATTACAATAGACCGCAATAGCACAGATTACACTCCACCCCATCCTGAAAGCTGGCATTCTACTTTTTCAAGTCTAGTAGATCTGGTGCACATTAGGCTTCACTTCTGCATAAAAACTTTGAATAGTAGTCCATGCACAGCCTGCCATGTTTCACTTTGCAAAAGAACCTAGAGCTTAGTACATTTTGCACGTCCTTAATATACCTAATCTGTAGTCCTCCCAGGAAAAAAAAAGAGGCTATAAGATGCTATAGTGACAATGCACCCTTGCCATCAGTGACATATCTTGGGCCTAGGACTGTACGTGGGTGGTAAAAATGACTCAGTTGATGCCTATTGATTCTGCCCTGACATCAGGCCCTTTCTTTTAGTTGAGGCCTAGTCTTCAGCATTGCTTGTGAATCCATGTCTGCTGACAGATAAAAGTCTCTCCTAGTGGATGAATCACGGCAGCCTTGGGGAAAGGTCATTCTTCGAGTTCTCCTGTCACCCCCAGAGTCTTGAGCCGATTGTGACCTCACATCAAGCCAATGGCAAGAGATTTACTCCCATCCTTGAGGAATAGTTCTGCTTTTATCTTCTAAGTTATGTATCCATTCCTTTGACTGCTGTGACACTCGCCTAATAGGAGCTGTCACTTCCCCCCTGCTGCCGGATTCTTCATTTTGAGCTCTGCATGATTGTTACTTGCCAAGTAGTAATCACTAATGTTTCCCTTTCTTTTGCTATGGATAGAATGAGAGTCTAAATTTAACCTCGAAAACAATAACTTGTTCCTGCTGAGACGGAGCATGCTCTTCCTAAAACTCATTTATTGTGGTGTGCTCATGCTGCTTTGCAACATGCTCACTGGCAGCCATTTTGCCAAATGCTCCTCGCTGTAGCCTCCTGGCTCGGATGTTGTGGTGCAGAGAGAGCCAAGTCAAAGGTAATGTCAATTGGACAGCAGACAGAAAATACAAACTAGATTAGCAGAGTTTAGTGCAGACGAAACTTATCAGAACAGGAAATGAATCTTCTGTCATTTTAGTTTTTGTGCTATGTAGGAATATTTAGAGAACTTCAATAGCACCATCTGAACGGGGGACATAACAAAAGCCCAAGATGATTTAATAAAAATGCAACTAATTGTGGGGTGAAAAGTATTGTATGGAATGTTCATGCTCTTAACAGTTGAGCACATGTCGAAAAATGTAAAAGTAGTAGTCCTATTAAACCACCACTTGCATGTCGACGTGATGGCATGTTGGCATTGCTTTCTTGTAGAGTGGTTCAGGACCCGAGAAACCCAGGGTTGCCTATGATATTATAATGGCGTTCATTAAAAGGAAGCCGACAATCAACCCAGTCCAGTCGGCTTTTTTTTTTTTTTGCAGCCTAAGGCAATTCATCTTTTGGACTATTAGCAGGGAATGTGTTGGAGGGAGTGCAAGCACTGGACTTCACAGATGGAGTCAGTATTTTAGAGCATTATGTATTTTGGGGCTCCTGGATGTCCTAGATGAAAGGAGAACAGATGAACAGACACCTACAGGTGCTTGCTACAGCATGTTTGGTTGCTCAGCTGAAAAGCTCAGTTCAGCCCATCACAGCCATGTCTATGATAGTGGTGGACCTACGGTTCAATAGTGGAGATGCACCACTTACCTTTACCGTAAAGACACCCGCTAATGAGGAGAAATCTCTGAGTGAAAAGCCACTCTTCGGGCCTTTATTGGTGGAATATTGTGAATGTCAGAATTGATTCTCTACCTACACAAGTCATTTTGAATGCAAAAGCCTCTTGAAACAGGTAAAGCGGCTTAGTAGGTCATTTGCACCTGAACTGAGTGGTCTTGGAGGCATCTCAAACCAATTTCCAGCGCAGATTGCACCAGAAAGCAAGTGCACTGCATTTGAACACAAGCCCAGAATTCATCAACCAAGGCACTTAGACAGTTGTCACATGAATAGGTGTACTCATCCTAAGATTTGCGTTACAGACAACTGTAACATTTTGGGTTTGCCGTAACTTTGTCTTGGTGACGGTGGTCGCCAGTACAAATACTGAGGGTGAAGTTTTGTTTGGAGATGTACATTAAACCATGACCCAAAAGTAATATCGAACGTAATAAATCGGCCAACTAATCGATTATGAAAATAATCGTGTATATATATAATTTTCTCACACACACACACTAGGGTTAATAGGGTAATTTTCCTACAGTAACTTTTGGCCCCGTTCCCTTTGTATTGACGTTCTGATTAATAATGCTGTTCTTGATTTTTATTGTTTTGATCCGCATTAGAAGAGTTCTGTATTATCATGACCTAATGCGCTGCAATTTTGTTTTTAAGGTCGCTGGATTGACTCTACTTGCAGTCGGTGTTTACTCTGCAAAGAACGCAACCGGTGTGGCAGGTCGCTTTGTTGAAGCACGGCTTGGAAAGCCCTCATTGGTCAGAGACACATCTCGAATAACGGTGGCGGAGGCCTTCAAGCACCCTATTAAGGTGAAACTTCAATTTTTTCGTTGCATCTGCCAATCTCTAGCACAGTGGCCATTTGTCATTTGCTTCACAAGAGTGAAGGCTACCAGTAAGAGCAAGCCTCAGCCCTTAATAGCAGAAGTGATGACATCACCACCTATAGGTCCTTCTTGACCTATTTCTAAAAGGTACATGCAGGGTTTTTGTCTGCTGAATTTCAGGCAAACACACTTTTGGTTGTCGTAGCATTTGTAAGGTTGTTCAGCCAGCCTTGAACTACCCCCCCACCCCCTTCATTGGGCTGCTTCTGCATGTGGGTTCTTCAGCAGTCTTGATTGGCCCTCATGGGATGACTTAACTCCCAAGCATGCACACAAGAGTTCATTCATCCCGACACCCAGCAGTTTGTCTCTTCTGAAATAAAATTTAAAAAATCCTGTTTTGCAGTTTTTTTGTTTTGGCATTTGACTGTGTCCTTAATATGCAGTAAGTGAACATGGCCACAAAAGTGCAAGAAAAAGACTTCTTCCTGCACAAAATTGTGCAATTGCCTTTTATTGCCACACTGCAGTCTTATTTCTGGCATGTCCATCAGCTCAAACTGCCGGACTAGTGCAATAGCAGAGGGGGCAATGTCATTGTCCACCCATCATAACATCACACCGTATACCTTTTTTTTTTTTTTTTTTTTTTTTTTTTTTTTTTTTTTTTTTTT